TACTGCCAATCTACAAATGGTAGCAACTATGCCTTTCTACAACTTACGATTACCTTAGGGCACCTTTTATTAGGGCTGTAAATTTCACGGATTTTGCAATTTTTGAAGATTCACGACAATTACTTCTGCAAAAAATCAAATTGATACAGTAAAAGATGGCAGACGACATAGATTTGCGAAAATTAAATCCGCAAAATAGATTTTTAGGCAATTTTGCAAAATTTACAGCCCTCAAAAAAAGCGCCTTATGGTAATTATTTTTTTCAGAGCAGTATTTTTATGCTTTTTGTTGGATGTTAGGCTCGGTCAAGAAATGTGGAGTTTTTAAGATATTACACGAGAAGATAAGAAAAGAAAAGAAATTCCAATCAGAGAGTAGCGCCTTTCGAGAGACTTTCGCTGAAGCCGTCATTCACAACAGGGACCTTGAGCAGTATTTGAATAAAGCACAGGTGGGCCCCCTCGTTTTTGTGACCCCAGTAGCAAATATTATCAACTCATTTATAGGAGATACTGACCCCGCTAAAAGTATTGAATTTATTTCGTAATATTCCCGACGAGGTAATGCAGTTTTAAAATTATTTTATTTAATTTTTATTTGATTTTATTTGTAGGATATTGTGCTCCTTGGTATGACACTGGCAGCTGGTAGACCTGAGGATCTAATAGTAACTCGTTTACTTGTCCCGCCACTTTGCATTAGACCCTCTGTTGTATCAGATACTCAAGCTGGAACGTAAGTATCATTAGTATTATGTACTTGTACATGCATGAACTGTATTCCATGCTTATTCTCACTATGCATATTTTTGAGTTATGGTCATTTTATGCAGAAACCAGTTTTTGAGAAATAAATGGGTTTTTGCTTGTCACAGATTCCATGACAATTAAACAAAAAAGGGTTTTTGATTGTCACAGATTTTTTGACAATTGAACAAAATGGGTTTTTGCTTGTCGTGGATTTTATAGCCCATGGTCTTTTCCAAAAAATGGCTCCAAAATCACCCACAATTTCTGTTAAATTTTCTGATGCATATTAATGTCCTTATGCTCTGCAGAAACTTAGATTTTCACTCACATTTTTTGTACATTGCATGTCTTTCCTTTATAATGATAATGAGATTCTCTCCTTCCCCCTCTCTCTCTCCTCCAGTACTGAAGATGACGTTACTATTAAGTTGAGGGATATTATTTTTGCTAACGATGTCATTCATCGTCATCGGACTACTGGAGCTAAAGTTGAAATGATACTAGTTAGTTCATTCTTATTCAGCAGTTCAAAGTCAAATGTATTATATCATCATTATTAGTATTAATTATGCTGCATTTACAGTGATAGGCTAATGAATAATTAATAGTCAATATTACTTCCTTTTATTACCACATCAATTACATTGTAATATGCATGTACATGTACATGCATATTAATGATTTTCATATTTTAATTAATACATGTAGTTAATGTAATGATACTTTTACTAATTGTATACTTACACTAGTATTTAATTTTATTAATATATATATTACACGTACACATTATATATTAGGAGATGTGGGATTATCTTCAGTTGCAAGTTGCTCTCTATATTAACAGTGAAGTGTCTGGCATCCCGCCTTCAATGATAGTAAGTTTAATCATTTTGCTATTAACTAATACTATTGTTGAGATAATGAAATCATCAAATTTAACCTGCCAACCTATCAATGATGTATAGTCAATTTG